CAATCCCCAGTACCTATGGAAAAAGAAAAGTGTCTGTCTTAGCTTATTTTCCTGACTCAGGGAAGTAAGTATCTAAAACATGAATGCATTAGTTCTTAACAGCCAAATTAAAGCCTCTTTTTTTTTTGTATTCTTAGCTTATTCATTCTTTAATTCCATCAATGTCTGCTCTGTCATGTATTATTCAAGACTTCAAACTACTTATATTCTAGGGAAAGGAACAGATGAAAAATAAAAATGAAAATCAGTTATTTAGTATGGCAGATACTAATCTTATAAACAAAAATTAAAAAAGAAAAAGGGTAATGTAGAATGCCAGTTGGTAGGAAATGGGGATGGTCAGAGAATACCTCATTTTAAAATGATAGTTAAGCAGGGAATGAGTCATGGCTATTTGGTGGAAAATGTTCAAGGTGAAGGAATAGTTAAACATGAGAACACTGGGCAGGAGGATGCTGGTCTTTTTTAATAAAAGTAAGAAAGCTGGTTATAGTGGGACATACCTTTAATCCCAGCTCTTAGCCTCTTGCAAATTCACAGACTACCTTGGGTAATTTAATGAGATCCTGCCTTAAAATTAACTAAAATGTGCTTGGTGGTGGAGCGCTTGCCTTGCGTGATCCCAAGGCCCTCGGGTTTAACCCCCAGTACTGCCTTTAAAAAAAAAAAAAAACCTAAAGAATTTGGAATAGTTAGTAATAAGTGAATAAGCCTATATTTTTCTTGTGTTGTTCTTACTGGAACAGAGGACTACCATTCTCTGAGTAACATCCTAATCTTTTCTTCTTCAGTATAATTAATTGCTCAAATTTTACATTTCTCTTCTCTTTTTCATTAACTATCACTTATAGAAACTTACTCCATTCTTCCAACCAGGCCAGAATGTGGGTAAGGGTTTTTTCTCTAACTTCAATACCCTTAGAATAAGAAGACACTTTCTCCAAAACTTCGGTTCTTCTTTTTCTCTTATATTCTATGAGAGACTTCCTCCTTTCAGTTAGTGAGGTAAGATCATCAGGAGTATATCGGGTTATTATCCGTTGCACATTGTTCAGTATGTCAGTCAGCTGCATATTAATTTCCTGTAAGAATAAAAATGAGTAATACATTAATAAATTCTTAGTTTTTAAGATAAGCTTTGATCACTTTTTTTCCTAGCATGCCAGTAACAGTAAATAATAAAGCTGTCCAATTAAAGTCTTGCTAGTTTTATCTTTACTGTTGGTCTCAGATTTTCCCTTTTCAAAAAAAATTTTTTTTCTTCTTCATCATCCTAGCAATGTTATGATATAATGGAAAGAGCATTGGATTTGAAGCCCTATTATATCCTAACTTTAATTCCTTACAAGCAATATATATTTTTTTAAGTACCTGGGAATGAACCCACTGAACCACAATTCCCAGTGCGTTTTATTTTTTTATTTTGAGACAGGGTCTTGTTAAGTTGCTGAGACTGCCCTGGAACTTGCAGACTCCTGAGCTGCTGGGATTACAGGTATGTGCCACTGCATCTGGCCATATTTGATTATTTTATCAGAAAACTTTTTTAAGTATATTTGGAGAATTTTGGCATCTGAATCTTTTTCAACTGTAAATTTTATAAAATATATAAATACAGGTCAAATATTTCTGATGAAAAACTATTATTCAATGTGAGATATACACTAAGTACAAAATACGTAATGGGTTTCAAATGTCTAGAATGAAATCACTTTTATATCTCAATAATTTTTTAAAATAATTTTTTTAGTTATCGATAAACATTTATTTATCTATTTATCTATCTGTTTATTTATTTATTTATATGTGGTGCTGAGAAACTCAGTGCCTCACACATGCCAGGCAAGTGCACTACATCTGAGCCACAGCCTCAGCCCCATCAATAATTTTTGTATTGATTAAATGTTGAGTAACATCCTAATCTTTTCATCTTCAGTCTAATTAATTATTTAAATTTTACATTTCTCTTCTCTTTTTCATTAACTGTCACTTATAAAAACTCACTCCATTCTTCCAACCAGGCCAGAATGTGGGTAAGGGTTTTTTCTCTGACTTCAATACCCTTATTAAAATTTGGGGCTGGGCAGGGCTGGGGTTGCGGCTCAGCGGTAGAGCATTCGCCTCTCACGTGTGAGACCCTGGGTTCGATCCTCAGCACCCATAAAAATAAACAAAATAAAGCTATTGTGCCCATGTATAACTAAAAAAAATTTTTTTTTAATTGGTGGCTGGGGTTGTGGCTCAGTGGTAGAGTGCTCACCTCGCATATGGAGGGCACTGGGTTTGAACCTCAGCACATTAAAGTAAAGGTATTGTGTCCATGTACAACGAAAACAAAATTTTAAAAATTTATTAAAATTTACTCCACGTATCTCTTTTTACTGTTTATATTATAGTTTATAGGAAATTTAATGTTACATATAGTTAACATTAAATTTCTTCTCAATAGTGTTTTTAGTGTATATGATTAACATTAGAAAAAGTAGTCATATCAGTTCATACTTGCATGTCAAAGTGTAAGTATCCCTGTTGTTTCACATTTCTTCCAACACATGATATTATTAGATTTAAAAAGTTTTTTTTTTTTTTTTGAGCCGGATGCAATGATGCACTACTGTAATCCCAGTGCCTCAGGAAGCTGAGGCAGGAGTATCAAAAATTCAAAGCCAGCCTTAGCAAAAAGTGAGCACTAAGCAACTCGGTGAGACTCTGTCTCTAAATAAAATATAAAAAGGGCTGGGGGTGTGGTTCAGTGGTCAAGGGCCCCTGAGTTCAATCCCCTGTACAAAAAAAAAAAAGTTTTTTTGCCAAGCTGTTGGATGTGTTATGGTATCTAATTGTAGATTTGATTTTAATTTCTATGATAACTCATGAAATATTAAGAAATGTTACTTATTTTGTGAAAATAAAGTTTTGTATATTAAACCCACTTTCCTATAGTTGATTTGTTGACACATTAATTCATTTCTTTTTATAGATAAATGATAGTACATCTCAGCTTGCTTAAAAGCTAGGAGATCACTTTGAATTCTGTTTTCTAACTACAGAAAGATATAAATAAACTGGTTTTCAAGCATGGAGCCAGCCCTAATGATAATAGTACACCATTTAAAAAGACCTAAGGCAATGAATTCCATTTCTAATGGAAAAAAAGAACTGTGCAAACAAGTTAAAAACTTTTTGTGTCAATGTTATAAAATGTAGCTTTTAATAAAACCTTGACCCAAATGCCAGTAACTTCATAAAAGAATTTGGGAGGAGAGAAGAAAGTTATTTCATTAAGGAAAAATAACCACTACACAATTTCTGTGTACCAGAGCAATAACAAGATCTAGGGCTGGGGTTGTGGCTCAGTGGCAGAGTTCTTTGCCTAGCACATGTGAGGTATTGGGTTCAATCCTCAGCACCACATAAAAATAAACAAAGTAAGAATATGAAAAATACAATAATATTAAAAAAAAAGAACTAGGGCTGGGGATGTGGCTCAAGCTGTAGCGCGCTCACCTGGCATGCGCTGGGTGCTGGGTTCAATCCTCAACACCACATAGAAATAAAATAAAGATATTGTGTCCACTTAAAACTAAAAAATAAATATTAAAAAATATCTAAATACAATTATATTTTAAACACCCAGATAAGACTTTACATAAAAATACCATCCTACTTTTCTCCCTTGTTTCTAAAATATCACATACTTTCCTCAACATCTTCAGCCATCCAGTAATTTTTAGGAAACTTTTGTTCATGATCTTAATTTGTAATCCCTGGCTCTTTGGGGCTCAGTGATAAAAGTTCAAAACCACCAAAAGTGATGGTTCACTTGAAGTTAAACATGAGAGATTGTTTCAGTTAGTCTTAGGAAGAAAGCAGTGCTGCATCAACTGGCTCCATGCAGAAGGAGCACCTGAAGAATCTTATCAAGCAGTCATCTGTACAGTCCAGGTGATAGATGTGCATATGTATGACAGAAATCAAATTGGATTCTCATAAACAAAGTTTGTGGTACAGATCACACACTCCTGGATCTTTTTTCTGATCTATCTCTTCCTGGGTCATATACTCCATTAGGCAGATGCTATGTAAGGCCTACTCTTGTGTGTGTGTAGGGGGGACTCAATCTTATTTATTTATTTTACAGTAGAATGCATTTTGACATATTGTACCCAAATGGAACACAACATCTCATTCCTCTGGCTGTCTGTGGTGCAGAGTCACTCCAGTAGTGTAATCATACATGTATATAGGGTAATAATGTCTGTCTCATTCTACTGTCCTTCCCATCTCCACAACCCTACCCCTTCCTTCACTCCCTTCTACACAAACCAAAGTTCCTTCATTCTTCCCTATCTCCCCGCCCACTATGGATTAGCATCCACTTATCAAAGAAAACATTCAGCTTTTGGTTTGGCGAGATTGGCTTATTTCTCTGCAAATGCCATCATTTCATTCTTCTTTAAGGCTAAGTAGCAGTCCATTGTGTACATGTACCACATTTTCTTTATCCATTCATCTATTTTGAAGGGCATCTAAGTTGGTTCCATAGTTTAGCTATTGTGAATTGAGCTGCTATAAACATTATGTGGCTACATCACTGTAGTATGCTGACTTTAAGTCCTTTGGATATGAATCAAAGAGTGGGATAGCTGGGTCAAATGTTGGATCCATTCCAAGTTTTCTGAGGTATCTTCATACTGCTTTTCATAGTGGTGGTGCCAATTTACAATCCCACCAACAATATATGAGTGTATCTTTTCCCCCACCTCCCTCCTTGCCAACAGTAAGGCTATTCTTTAAGATATCCTGATTTATTCTTCAATCAGCTGAGTTGCTAGGTGAGTCTGGCTAGGTGTTAGATGATAAATTAGAACCAGAACTTGTTCCTGACATGGAAGCATCAGCTTCTGATCTGACTCCCTCCCAACACCAAAGCTAGAGTGCTCAAATTGAGACTTGTGAAGCAGGGAATTATTATCCTAGATGGGGATTTGAGGCAGTTCCTTATATTTTGAGGTTGGGGCATGCAATCTGTGCACTATTCTGACAGTCTTCTCCTTTTATTTTTCTGTTGGGTTATTTTTTTCTTTGATTCACAGGAATTCTTTATATATCCTGTGTTTTGGTATATTCTCTGTTGCTATAACCAAATATCTAAGA